GATATATTTTTGTCAAATTTTTATGATATCTTCAAACATATATTTTATTCAAAAAATAAAAACATCATCGTTTTCTCAAAATCACATAAAACCATATTATAATATCGACTGAGATAAAGAATAAAATGAAATATTAAAATCACGATGTATCTCGCTGCATTGCGCGAGTACGCTTCTAGTATAAAAAAAATAGATATATTTTTGATAAAGTAATTTCACAACTTTCATCAAATATCACATGTGATAATTGTAGATTTTTTTGTTAATCATATCTGATGGTCGTAGATATTTTTGTTAATCATATATGATTATGTATATTTATATTTATAGATATTTTTTTGATATAAATATTATCATGTATGATAATACATCACTTATATTCAGACCAATATTATTATATGTGATATGTATAAAAATTCACATAGTAGATCATACGTGGATGTGTAATAAATTGTATGTTAAACAAAGTTTATCGCATGTGATTCAAATTTGTAGATTAAAAAATTAGAGAAAAAAAATGTGAAAATGATTATGAATTAATTGTAAATATCACATGTGATATTTGATTAAAATTTTGAATTTTTTTTATCAAAGTATATCTAAAAAAAAAGTTATAAAAAATAATTATAAATTTATTAAATTAATAAATAAATAAATCTAAAAAATATAATTAGATTTTTAAAAATTTATCCAATCCAAAGCGATAATTATCTTAATTTCTAATTTTTTATGTTATTTTTTAATTAATAGGTTATGTAGCCCATATTCCTTTGCGACTTCTCGAAATTTAGTTAGCTTTTTGTATGATCCTCCATATATATATATATATATATATATACATACATACATACACACACATATATAGAGAGAGGGGTTCAAACAAGAACAATAGTTAAAAAAAAAAAAATGAAACGACTAAATCACGTACAAGATCATATGTTAGTTTATACAGTCAACCCAAGGGTGTGAGTGACATGGTCTGGGACCTTAAATCGTAGTTAAAGTCACATGAATCACATATGATTTTAGTGAAAAATCACATGTATTCGACCGTTTTTCTTAAATTTTTATTTAGTTATTGATCTCGTATGAACCCGACTCTATATATTTGGGTTTTCAAAATCCCGATCGCAAGTATATTCACATGCATATCAATATCTTTATCTATACTATATTATAAAGCATTTGACAAAAACTCTTAAAAATCATTTTTTATGTATGAAATATTGTATTATCAATGCATATTACTTAAAACTCAGGATTACAAGTAAATTGTGCATAAGTACAACTTGTTAAACCTCTATTTTTGAATTCGTGTAACTAACTGCATCTAAACATAATCATATACATGATAAACATCACAAATTTTAAATCTAAAAAATCTAAAATATAATTAGGATAATCGTTGAGTTTTAATAGAAAACTTAACTATAATTTTTTATAAAAAATTATATTATTAAACCAAAAATAAATTGATTCGTTATTAAACTAATAGAATATTTAATTATTATATTTATAAAAAATTATATTATTAAACCAAAAATAAATTGATTCGTTATTAAACTAATAGAATACTTAATTACTATCTTTATAAAAAATTATATTATTAAACCAAAAATAAATTGATTCGTTATTAAACTTAAATTAAATTATAATAAAAAAATTGAATTAAAGAAATTACACAAAAGCAAGAACTTTTAAATACTTAATTTAATACTAATATCGATATTTTTTATTCAAAAATTTAATCACAATATCTTCAAATTTATATTTTATTCAAAAATAAAAACATTATCGCTTTCTTAAAACCATATAAAACTGTATTATATTCATAGACAAAAAACAAAATGAAACAATAAAATCAAAATATATCTCACTGAATTGTGCGAGTACCTTTCTAGTTATATTATAAAACATTCACAACACGTTCTAAAAATCTTTTAAAATGTAAGTTTACAACTTAAAACTCCATGTTTGAACTCAATAAAACCAAGTAATAAACAAAATAAAACGAGAGAGCTGAAAACAGAACGAAACATGAACCAGAATTAAATAACACTGTATTGCACAAATGCATCTTTACTTTACGGTCAAACATTTCTATTAAAATATAAAAACGTTACATTTATTTTGAATGAACAGACTTTTTAAACAAATTCATGAATTTCATAAATGTGACATGATCACGTAATTTTCCACTTTCCAACGACGGTATTGTTAGGAAAACGAAACTACATAAATTTAAGTTTGGTACACAAAAAGTAAGTAATCACGTGCTAAATTATATGTAACGACTCGGTGTTGTTGAATTTTATTCAACGGTTTAATATGGTTCTGAGATAAAATCGTCTTAAAATAATCACATGATATTGATGTTTGCAAACATAAGGTATAATATATACACTTATTTGTTGTTATGATATATTTTAATAATCTGGACTATACTACTCAAAATTCAGAATTACAAGTAAATTGTGCATAAATACAACTTATTAAAACTTAATGTTTGAATTCGTATAACTAACTGCAGATAAACATAATCAAATAGAGAATAAACATCTCATTGTAAATATATAAATCTAAAATATAATTAAGATAATTTTTGAGTTCTAACAAAATACTTAATTTTATCTTTATAAAAAATTATATTATTAAACCAAAAACTAAAAAAACAAATTAAGGAAATATAGAAAGAAAAAAAACGAGAATTTTTAAATAGTTAGTTTGGTACTAATATCAATATTTTATTTCTTCATTTTTATGATATTTTCGTATTTATATTTTATTCAAAACATTATTGTTTTCTCAAAACCACATAAAACCGTATTATAATATCAACTGAGACAAAAAAAAAAAATTAAAATCAAGATATATCTCATTGCGATGTACGAATATCCTTCTATAACAGAAAACCATTTATCTCCCATAGTAATCATTTTATGAGAGATCTTCAAATTTGGAGAAATTTACACATTCTCTCTCATACTTTCTTCATTTTAGAGAAAATTTTAAAGAATCAGATAAAAAAATTATATAAAATTTTTATTTTTTTATTTTAAAAAATTTGTTAAAGATATTGATATCTTACGCAATCTTTTATATTACTTTTTGGTCAAACTTTTATTATTAAAATATACAAACGTTATATTTGTAATTAACCAACAAACTTTCATGAATTTCATATAATATGACACGTCATCAATTAATTTTCCAACGGCGGTATTTGTTAACAATCTCTATAAAACCAAGTTCTTTTAAAGATATTCCCCAAAAGGGCAATTTCGTCATAAAAATTTGCACAAAAAAATGGCTTTTTTACAAGTCAACACATGTTCAAACACTTGACTGGGGGTAAGGACAAAATTACGGTTAGTGGCAGGATAGTGAATAAGTGGAAACGCGAGGGTGGTTTTGCAAGAGAAAACACACACGTGCATTTCACGTGCCAAAAAATCGTAAATAAATTGCAAAACGAAGGGTATTGGATTTGGGGAAAACGAGAAAAACAAAATTGCAGTTAACGGTAAAACAGGGAAACAAGAAAAACAGGCGTTTTCCTTCCATTTCCATTTATCAAATTTCTATCCTCCTGAAGAAAAATTCAGATCCATTATCCCTCTTCAACCCCACAATCAACCCTCATTAGGTATGTTGTTCTTCAATCGGTTGTTGATTTCAATCAATTTTTGTTTTGATGGGTGTTTTGACACAATTTGAGGTTTTGGGATTATACGAAACGGGAGCGACGAAATTAACGGTGTTAAAGAATACATGCAGGACAATTGTTTGAAGTAAAATGCGTTTTCATTTGATTGTTGTTTTCTGATGATCGTTTTTGTGTTTGTTGGAATGCAACATTAGGGCTTTTCGGTTGAAGGGGCACAAATTAACTTAATTCAAGTTCTGGTGTCCGTTGATGATAAGAAGGTACGGTTTTTTGATGATTTAAGTTTGTTTTTCGCGAACTTTTGTGTGAATTTTTGCTCATTTTGATGGGTTTTATTTCTTGTAAGTGGGGGATTTTGTTCATCAGGGTTGATTGAAAATCGAAATGTGGGAAATGAAATTAAACATGACGAATGCAGCTTATCTGGTCAAATTGATCGTTAATTCGTAAGATTGATGTTTTCGAATTTGCTGTTTGTTTGTTGATATGTGAAAATTAGGGGAAATTTGTTCAGATACTGTTGAATTCCTGGGCTTCTTTCTGAATGATAATATTCACATGAATTGCATCTCTAAATGGATTATATTCATTAATGAATGTTCAATTATGGTGTTGAAATGCATCATCAAGGTGTTATCTTGTTGCATTTTCGGCATCTCACTTAATCAAGAAAGTTAGACGTGACCTTTTTCGGTGAAAAAAGAGAGAAAAAGCCAATAACCCTTCATTCCCTTTTCGTGTAGCAGGATTTAATTGCAACTTATCGTTAAAAATGGGGCAACGGAACATGGGTTTCACCGGTCAAATGATTGATAACGAAATAGAGCATGCCCGCCTTCTTCCTGAACCTGGTGTAGTTCCTTTTGGTCGGATTGCAAATTTTCGCCAGCCTAACGATCATCCATCACAGCTAGGAAACGTTCATGGACTTTTGCCCTCTGGGATCGACTCCACCACGTTCATGGTGGCTCCACCTGGGGCCCGAGTGGTTCCGGTTCCAATCAGCCCTGGGCTGCAGAACCAGTTACTGGTTCCAACCAACCAGGTTATGGATGGGTTTAATGGTGCATTTAAGGGAAAGATTGCTGGAGGTTATCCTGTGAACTTTCGGTATTTCTATCCTGCACCTGGCTCGAGCTCTTTTGTGGTTCCAGAGTACCGAGGGTACGATGTTATCCCTGTGGTTATGGGACCTGGAAACCACAGAGGTCCGAGAAACAGAGCCGCTGGTGCTATTGGTCTTGACCACCCTGGCGTGCAACTCATGCCATTGAGCCATGGTGCCCAACCCCAACCCCTTCAGGTGGTGCCTGCCCCTTGGTTGGACCCGCAGTTTCGTGGGAATGCTCCAGGAATACCTTATATGCAAGGTAATTTTCTTCCTTTTACTGCTGCAAAATCCATATTTTATCTTGTTTATAATGTTATCTTACCTGATAGAGATCCACCATTTATCTTAATTCAGGATATACCAATGGATATCAAGTAATGACCGCCAATAGAAACCCGGTGGCCTTTGTGCAGCCGCCTGTTTCATCTCACCAATCAGCACCACCTATGCCATCGGTGCGAGGAAGCCCCAGTATGGGCTTTAATCCTCATTTAGCGTCGACTTCACACATGGTTCCTCTTCAAAACGGGGTGGAACTCGTGCCTAGGTTTGTGGGTCCCACACCACCGGTCGGTGTTAGGGTGTACCAGCCTCGTCGTCAGGATCTGATGGTAGAGTCAACCTCGAGACACCGAGGTTTCCCCGCCCATCTGAGAGTTCTCCCTGAAGATGTAGCATACTTGATCTCTCCATATCTTACGATTTTCGCCGTGCTTATGAGTCGGAACTTTCACTCATTCGTGTGTTTTACATGTGTAGGGAGTTGCAATGCTCGATATCTCTAATTATGGACATAGGGTCGATCATCACAGAGATATGCGTTTGGATATAGATCATATGTCTTATGAGGCAAGTTGTAGAAAAGATTTAAAACGACCGAGATTACTTTCCTTTTTTAGTTGAACCCAAAAAAGGACGTATCTTGAATCTTTATCGACCTTTTCTTTATCGTATGTAGGAGCTTCTTGCATTAGGTGAACAGATTGGCAATGCTGGCTCGAGCTTATCGGATGATTTCATTCTCGGTCATCTGAAAACAAGAATTTTTACCTCTTTTCATTCGGAAGATGGGTCTTCTGCTGATCAAGAACTCAATTTCTGCACAATTTGCCAGGTATTTCTCTGGTACAAACAATTTTTAGAGCAAATTAATGATTTAATCATCGTTATGTGCATAAAACTCGTCTTCTACGAGATTGTTAATCGTACTTGCTATAAACTTTCGGTTTCATTGCATGCAACTCATAGTACGTGAGTAGCTCGTGAGTTAATCGAAATCCGACGGATTGCTTCGTCGGAATGGCTAAAATCCATTCGAAACGATTGTAAAAACAATGGGGCTAATTTATCGGTTTCAACAGAAACATTGAACTAACTATCTGTTGAATCAAACATTTCAAGTTACAAAAAGTTGATGATATCAATTTACACACAAGATTCTGTCTGTTACAATTTTCACAAGAAACAAGAAACGGGTGTTCACGGGAACAGTCACTCTACTATTTATACATCTTACCTCTCTGAGTCCCCATCTCAGGTGGGATATACCGGGTTCATTTCGTATGGTAATTTACACACAAGATTCTCCGTTTTATAAGCATTGAAGGGTATTTCATATTGTTGATTGAAAGTCGAACGCTTCTCTTAAATCATCCATCACGTTAGCTAATTTCACATACGATCTTGTTATCAGTTAACTAATCGTTGAACGATGATTTGGATTTTACAGATGGACTACAATGATCAAGAAAAGATCGGGATGTTGGATTGCAGCCACGAGTACCATGTGGACTGCATCAAGAAGTGGCTGGCCGTGAAAAACAGTTGCCCGGTTTGCAAATGCACCGCACTGGCTACACAAGGGAACAACGAGTCGGGAAACCACGAAGAACCCTAGGCAGGCAGGCATGCTGTTTTCTGCTATAAAAAGAAACTGCAAATTATGGTAAATATCAAAAGTTAGTAGACTGGTGGATGTTATATGTTATAAAAACTAAATATAAGTAGATATTTAGACTTGTTATGTTTCTTCTGTTGTTCTCTGAGATGCAACTGTCAACAACTGTTTTTAAACCGTTGTCTTTGTTGGCGGCGTTAAAATCTTGAAACCTTTCTGTACATATCTTTTTCGTGTCGTTGTCATGTGTATGAACCCCGTGTTTTCGAATGTTAATACTCGGTTGCGCATTCATTGGTTCTTTTGCATATGATGTAAAATGTTCGGTAAGGCTTACAATCATACCAGGGTCTACTCTACTTCTTGGGATAGAGGTGAAGCCTGTATACATCCCGTCATCCAGACCCCATGTCAGAGTGGGATATACTATACCAGGGTCTACCCTACTTTTTGGGGTTGAAGTCAGATTTATTTACATCCTATCCTTCAGACCCCATGTCAGAGTGGGATATACTATACCAAGGTCTACTTCACTTTTTGGGTAGAGGTCAGGTCTATATACATTCCAATATTCCATCCTCCAGACCCCATTTTTGAGTGGGATAATACTGTACTAGGGTATACTCTACTTTTTGGATCAGATGTTAGATCTGTATGCATCTCATCTTTCGAGCCCTACTTCCGAGTGGCATTAAATGGTTTGTTTGGTTTAAGGTGAAGTGTTAATTGGAGTTTATGAAAAGTATATGAAGATTTTAGAGCACAAAATACATGGATTTATGTACATTTGGTACGTGGAACAAGACAAAACGGAATGGGAAAAACAGAACAAAAACTTGTCTCATGTTTGATGTAACGTTGGATAAAAATGTGTTTTTATGGTTCCTCTAAAATAGGTTGAACAACCAAAGGGTCATTGGCCCAGTAATTCTTTCACTGTTCCTTCACTCTTATCTGTCCAATTCCCTCCACTCTCGTCCGTGTACCAAAAGTACCTTAAAGCACAACTAGATTGCAGTTAGGTGATTGAGTTCGGTTTTTTAACAACTAGAAACATACGAAGAGCGAAAACTCTAACGACAAATTGTTAAGTTGACGATGTAAAAAAAAAGGATACGAATGTAATATTTACAGTTACGAGCTGTTTACTTGGTGTTTACTGTCTTTTGTAGAGTAAAAGACGTTTACCCGGTAAGAATTTGCATGATTTAATATTAACATATTGAAAATATTACTAAAACGAGACGAAACCATACTATTTTGTGTTAGATATATATTTTCATATCAATTTTTTTTTATTAACCTGGATATCCAACCCGCTATGCGAGCCGACTAATCTCAAGGCGACCACCTACTTTGCAGATAGCCCGGAGTCACCGCATTTGAACCTCCATGGCCACAAGGGGATTTTTATTCCTACTTGGATTTGAACCTGGAACCTCCTGGTATTTTTGACCTTTGGAGCCAAACTCAAACCAATCAGACACCACTCTTATGGTTGAAATTTTCATTATTGCAGCTATGGTTTTTGGTATTTTCATTATTGCAAGTTTAGAATTTGAATCATATCCTTATCATTTGTCCAATAAGTGTTAGAATTCTCATTATTGCAGATACGGTTTTCAATACTTTCTAAAAAAGGTAAGTGGTTTTGTTATTGAGACACAGACTAAAAATTTACGTCACAAAACTTATTAATTGCACTATACTCTTCATTCAGTTGCAACCAAACCCTCCGTTTTCATCAGTGCAACAACTGAATTCAAGCCAACCCCACAAGTTTCTCGCTTATCTCCCATGGCTTACAAGTCGTGGCTACATCACTTGCTTCTTCAGACAACTGGTTCTCGGGCAAAGCTTGAGCCATCATTCCAACTCCAGTATACACCAGACTTGTAGCAACCTACTTGGATCATTCACAAGTCACAACCTACATTAGAGATGCACAAGGCTCAGACTTATTGGATCTGCAACCGAGCCTTCCAAGCCCATTTTCAGTGAGTAGAAAAAGGGCACGAGCTTTTTTAGATTGGGCTTTTCGGGTCGACTTTTTCTTGCCCCTCAAAATTTTGGGTCGATCAACCATAGTTACACCATAAATCCATATGCACACTTTTCCGCTTATAATGACAACTTTACACAAACAGAAGGATGCCTAGATCTAGTTTATCACATACAAAACGCCATCAAAAACCTCTTTTTCTAACCAAAAACGGAAAAAATATCTTTCTAAAAGTCGATAACGATACAATGCCTACAACTACATTGACATTGTAACATATGAAGCTTCAACCTTTAAGATCATGATGTGTTAAACGAACCAAACGAACATGAACCGATGTGTGTTTGTGTTCGCTACTTTCACTTTAATCGAATGAACACAAACACATAAACGGATAATATTTTCTTGTGTTTGTTCTTTAAGAAAATAAACTTGTTCGTGTTTCTTCATTAATGTAATGTCTACGGTTTATATTATTAATAAAAAAAAGTAAGTAAATAAATAAAACTACTCTTAAAAGGGGGGAAGTTTATAAATATACGGGTTGTGATAATAAAACGTAAAATCTTGAGATTTAAGAGATTAATTTTAAAAACTAATTGAAAGCCGAAGAGTTGAGATGTATGCAAACCTGATTCCTACCATAAAAGGGTAGAGCAATTGTTTTCATAAAGAACCCAGCTATTGCCCGAGAGTGAGCAAAACGGTATAAGACAATAAAAAAGGAAGCTAGCACGATTAGAGCAAAAACGCCAAACAACACATTTCTAACCTAAACTACGTGCGTTCTAACCCCCAGACCCGTGAAAAAAAAAAGTACAACTGCAAAAGTATGCCCAAGTACGCTAGCTACGGGTCCTACACTTAGTTTGCCACCTTAGTCCTCCACCTTCAAGTACTCCTATCAGAGGTCATAATTCATATCATTATAAATGTCTAAAATTGTCATGTGCAACTTAAATTGCTTATTGCAGGTCCTCCTCCGCCTATTCCTCCTGACCCTTAAATTGTCACACTTTCTACTTCCCTCATCGGTGACGACATTGGTATCCTAGGAAAGTGCCCAAACCAACGCAATCTTTCTTCTCTCAGTTTATCCGTTATGTCGTTATGGTAGCTACTCCGAACTCCAACGGAGAAACGTCATTCGGGATTTTGTCTTAACCCACATGTCCATCTAAGCATCCCCATTTCCGCAACTTCCAACTTATTTTCAACAACCTTTCTTTTAACCCTGCATTTGGAGCCATAGAATTTGCCCTTCAATTTTAGTGGAACCTTCCCGGCACACCGTTTTTTGGCTTCATATAGAATTGGAACTCTATTTCATATTTTTCGTAAGATTTCACCTCATAACTATAAACGGTTGACGGTCTAGATAAAAGCCTTACATTATTTACATAAATCACGAGCTTTAATAGTTAGAAAGTTGGGTTCGAGTTTGAGGCACGAGTTCGAGATTTGGGTCACGATTTATTCATGCAATTGTGGATCCTTGAAATATTCTCGTAATAAATTCGTTGTTGATCGAAACTTGATATTTGAGAACCTTGTTTCGATATTCTTTCTTCACATATCATGTGATGAGTTACGCCTTTAATCTTATGAAGTTTAGGTTGGTTTTTACATTCATCCGTGCACGCTTAGAACCCGTTGTTAAATTAATTTGGAGATAAGTATACGAGTTAACCACATGTAAGATGCTACAGGTTTGTCATTTGTGGGGCCAATGACGTGACATCAGTCGTGACCATATGATTGGTCCATGGTCTCCTTCCGATTTATGCTCTAATGAAAGACAACCATGAAATGAACAATTTACATATAACATAAACCACATCACGTAATCAAAAGCAAATTTGGGAACTAAAGGACACTGACAAATTTCGTAACTATTTCTGAACAACAATACCAAACAGCGCAAAAGAAGTAAAACCATGTGCCATGTGCATACCAGTAGTTCCTGGAGAAGGGCGACGATCTATAGAAGCAAAAGACCGACGAGCAACAACAATAGAAGACCGACGACAACAACAACATCAGAAGAGGACGAACGACGGCAACGAGCAACAACAGTGATCTTAAAGAGCGGTGCCTGCAAAAACTTGATTTCAGTGGATATTATGAATTCATGTCGTAAATCGCATCCGTTTTTAATTTAAAATAATAATAATAATAATAATAATAATCAATGGATGTAACATCAAAACTCACAAAAATGAAGTTACCCAAATATTATGTACTTTGGTTACCAAGAAAAGTGTCTTGGATCATGAATTTAATGTCACAAAAGATGATTCTGATTTATGCTAACACTTTTTATTTATTACCAATTAAAAAAACTCACTGTACAACTGTCATTGCATGTGTGTGCAATCATTAAACCATCAACCAATGGATTGCCTTTTTCTTAAATCTTATAATATTAACCAGTGTTCGACACTGCACGTTTCACGATGATCAGAACTCAATTTAAGAAAAAACGTAAGAGCTTCGACTCGAGTGGAAGTGCGATGTGTTTGAAAGCTTTGGATTGTACTTATATTTATAACGCCCTCCAACACTGTAAATCACGATTTGGAGAATACTAACATCAGATGAAAGTACGTCATTAAATCAATACTTTTATTCTATGTAGATATATGAGTGATGTACTAGATACTTAAACTACATTTGTTATCCTTGGTTTCAGTTTTTATATTTGCTCTGTAATTTTTACCATATGGTTGGTTTTGATTTCAACTATGGTTATAAATTTCAAAGAGGGTCATCCAAAATAAGACAATCCTATTATGCAAACTCTATGATTTGATACAAAGACATCTAATTCATCTTTTTTATACACTTTCTTTTGTTCAAATCTTTTAATTCTTCGTTAACGTGGGACAATGAAAACTCAACCACAATTTATCATTTAAGTACACTCAATTCTCATGGTGTCACCTCAATGCCCTAAGATTTTCCTTTAATATATATAAAGATTTTTTAATTTTCATATCCTCTCTTCTTCATGCCTTCATTTTAAATCCTTACAACATCTATAACGGTTGTATTATTTTAGAAATTTTAGAAATCTAAAAAAATTAAACAATTATATTAAATTATTTTTTAAAATAAAATGTAAAATAAGAGAGATTAAATAAATCTTTAAATTTGAAAGGAAAAAAAAGATAAAATATAACATACATGTTGGAGATGCTCTTAGAACATTTTCAATATATATATATATTTTGTAATTTTCCTAAAATAAAGTACTAAA